TGGTTTTTAGACCATGTGCATATGTACTCTATCTTGCTTTACATGGTAACGATTAGAATTTAATCATGGTGTAATTTCTCCACCAGTAGTTTCTTATTATATACCGATCTTTCATAATGGAAACTACAATTCACTAAACAAAAGAGAAATGAGCCAGTGTGTCAAGAATCAAATCCTAGAAATATTCCTGCTGTGTGTGAACCAACCCACCTTTGTAGGGAATACTGAAGTATTCCCTACAAAGGTGGGTTGTGCAGTTTCTTCTTTTAAGTTGTTAAATTGCAGCTGTGTATTTGGGGATGCTGTCTGCCAAATCCTGCACGTATGAAGGGAATCTGTAAAGAAATTACACGCATGGTTCGTTTGCTTTGTAACTGATCGTGCAGCTGCTGTGATGGGCTGTAGAGAGGAGCAGCCACACTCCTGAGTGGAAAGATCACTTCTAATCTGACAGTGCATCATTCACAAGCTAGAACCTGCAGCCCAGCATGCTGTAAAACACCACACAGAGACATTTTCAAATATGTATTAACTCTTAATCGCAAAGGTTTGCTACTGATCAAAGATTTCCAGATGTGGGTAACAGAGGGCAATGCATTGTAGAAAAGGTGTCACTACAGCAAACAATCCACATGTTCAGGTGTGTTACACTGGATCCCGTTCATGACACAACCTCGTCGGGGATTTGAATCTACAGCTGGAACTAAACCAGCCTACACTATGGAGCCACACACCATTACACACTGCAGTTAAATGGAACAGCTGCCCAAATAATGCTAAATACAAGACAGATTTAATTCTGGCACGTTAATATCTTTGTATTTCTTGAATTACCGTGATTGTCGGGCTATAAGCCGCTACTTTTTACACAAGCTTTGAACCCTGCGGCTTTTAGTCGGGTGCAGCTTTTCTAAGGATTGTCCATGATTTTTGTGATATCGTAAGAGGATTTGTTTTGTTTGTTCCGCTGTTCTCCGGCACTACGTTGCCTGGCGGAAGGATCGGGGTTCAAGAGTGGTATGTTGGTCACATGTCCGTCCGCCAGGCAATTTAGTGCCATACGAAGTAGCGCGAAAAACAAAGCTATGCGTTCAGCAGGAAGTGTGGATGATGAGCGGCGATAAACTTGCGAAAAGCAAGTTATACTCAACTCCACCGGTGGATTCTGACAGCGTGAAAAAGTGTGAAAACATCCATGATCACCAACGGATTTCGAAGGGCTGGACTGCTGCATGATGGAGAGGAGGACACCGCCACGGCCCTTCAGAGGGTGTTCGACTCTGACACTGACAACGAGGATTTGTTTGGTTTTGAAAGTGACAACGAAGGAAAGAAGCTGAGAGTGGATGACGTAGCCATCCTGAGCCTGTTCGTTTCCGACACTGGAGAAGAGGACTTTGGTGGTTTTAGTGCGCAGGAAGAAGAGAAAGATGGTGGTGAATGACTGACTTTTCTTCTTGTTAAAGCCGTGTCACTGCACCTGAGCCTAAAAGGTAGTCCGAATCTATTTTTCTGGTGTGCTGTAGGTTATTGTTATGTACTACATTTGTTACTCATTTATGAAGCACAGTACATGTTTCGTACTTGTGATTACCGCTACTTGTACATATACCTAAAAAGTTATGCAAATATGTACCCATAACTTGTTTTTCAAAATATTAATAAAAGGGTTGTGTCTCCAAACAGCCATCTCTTTGCTGACAATTCCCTTTGTGCATATTCTCTTACATATGATAAGTCAACATTGAAACACCTGCGGCTTTTAGTCAGGTGCGGCTAATGTATGTACAAAACAGGATTTTCCCCTGATTTTAGCTTGTGCGGCTAATATTCAGGTGCGCTTTGTAGTCCAAAAAATACGGTAATCAAATATGTCTGAAGAGGAAAACATGAATCTGAGAATACTGCACACATTAATTTACCTTTTTTTTTTTTTTAAGCAGCAGTTATATATTTAAATTCTGTTTTAGTTAAAGTCATGGATTCCTGCAAAATCCAGGTCAACTTCAGCAAGAATTCTGTGGCAGAGGTCATTTTTTACCAAAATTCTTAAGCAGAGCTAGCCCATAACGGCTTTTTACCTTAATAACAACAAGCAAACAAACACTTTATTAGCTAAAAAAAAAGATGGCTAACTGGGGGATGCATACACTGTGACATTTATATAGTTCAACTCACCGCTTAGTAATGAATGAAGAATTTGAAAAACTGCTGCTAGTCAATAACTTTTCAATGGTAAGCCAACAGTAAATGATACTTATAACTAATTATCCAAATATTTAATAAACACTGCTAGCTAAAATGTTCACCTCTAAGAAACTGAAGTACTACAAACCTGGCAGAGCTACTGGAATCTAATCATTGTCATAATTCGCTTCAATTAGGAGAAAGATTACAGCTACAGGACATCTGACAAAGACGGCCGGGAATAACCGTGCAGGATAAAAAACACTTTGCAGGAAAAACAAAATGCACTTACCACATTGTCAGTCTGGTTGATGCCCAGGAGGAAGACAAGCTCGGAGAAGAAGAGCGCTGCCACCAGGTTCCTGTGGATGGCGTGGAGGTTGGTACGGAGCCTGTGCAAGAGGCACAGCAGGATGAAGGTGATCAGGAGGAGAAACAGGGACACGGAGACTGTGGTGTACGTGACGATCTTCAGAGGCAGGACATCGCCGTGCTGTGGAGAGCATCCAAGACAGCGAGTTAGTGATCAGTAACAACCACCAGGTGTTTTAAAACAAAGCTGAAATGAGATAAGTTTTAAGCGCTACCTCTCTTTTGGAAATGTCCATCAACACAGCAAAACTGGTCATGTGGTTACACTGACAGCTAATGTGGGTGTTGTTCCTGTTGAGCACCTCGCAGCCTTTAGAGGACCAGCCGCCTGCGCCTCCGCTCCTAAACACGCCAACGGACACAAGCACAGGTGAGACCAGTAATGCATACTCTTAACGTCATGTGAAAACAATGCATTTAATAATGTATTTCAAATTTAACTCACCCGACTGAGTGGTCCCAGAACACGCAGACGGGTTTGGTTCGCTCCTCTGTCTCCAGCAGGGTGTACTCCAAGATGACCGGGGGGTCCAGGACGGTAGGAAGAGGCTCACCTTCGCTGTGGATCGTGGCGCTCACGATGGCTGTGTTGATCACCGGACGGTTGGGGACTCTGGAAATACACATTGTGCGCTAACATTCGCATAAAGTTTTCTCTGCACCTTCTGGTGTTCACCCCTTGTTCATTCTGAGCAAGACGTTAAGCACAATAGCAGTAGATGGCTTTCACAGAGGTCAGCCATAGTTTACCTCAGACTCCTGCGGTCTGCGTCGTATCTTTCCGGAAGGAGTTTTCCCAGCGACTTGTACACTATCACCACAGCAACAGGCAGAGGGGCAGGTGGCTCGAGATGGCGGCGTTTCCTATCTGAAACTGTGTGCTCCTCCTCGAGGACAGCTTCTGTCTGAGCTGGAGGGGCAGGAGTGGGCTCTGCTGATGTCAGAAAGAAAGAAGATGAAGCTTTAAAAGCAGAAATTTTTTTTAATCGAGGTCTGATTGAGGCATCGTTCCCACCTTTGTTTCCCTGAGAACCGATATTAAACTGTGGGAAGCGGACAGAAGACCCGAGCTCTTTGGGGTAGGCCTCCTGGATTTCCCAGAAGCGAGGAAATGTTGTCCTCTCTGGGTTCGACACATCCAAGTAGTCCACAGTTAGAACTGAAATAAACAGGAGACACAGTAAAAACTTGTGTTATCATTTTTTCCCCGCAGCTGAAGCACAATTCAGTTACAGTTTGGAGACTCACTCATGTTTTCAGTGACGATGGTGAAGGGCTTCAGGTAGGTTTTCCGGACATTCTGTGCCAGCGTGCTCGCGTAGTCCTCAAAGTTTCGGAGCAAATGCGCGGTCCCGCTCTCTGTCCTTTGGATTTGGTCCCAGTGGTCCTTGGTGTTGGGATCCAGTATGGCGCTGCCTGCTCGCACCAAGTTCTGGAAAAAACACAAATTACGCTACGATTGAAAAAGGAATTTATAGATTCAAATAAAAGCAGTAATATAAAGTGTTCACCCAGTGAGCATCAACCAGTGGAGGGCAGCATGCCACCAGTGTTCCCAGTGCTCACATCATATATATTTTTATAATAATTAAGTGCATAAGGCTACCTCATTAAACTCTGCATCCTTCATGGCGGTGAGATCAAACCCGGCCTGGCGGCTTTCGTACTGCAGAACGTAATTCAGAAGCTGGGCGGCCATCTTCACATCGTTGCCGTAGTAATGTGACGTGTTGTTGGTGGCACTTTGAAGCAAACGCACAATGGTCTTGGAGCGTTCGCTGTCCATCCTTGAGCTGTTGCGGCGGAGATCGTCATTCTAGAAGAAGAGAGCGGAGGATGTAAAGAGAGGGAGAACGGGCAGGTCAAGGTCGGGAAAAGCTCCTCGGGTTCAGTCTAATAAAAGCTCTCGTCTGCTTTCATGCTTATTTCTGTCTTTTATTCACCAGTTTTTTCAAATGTGTGAAGGCGACGGTGGTGCAGTTGAAGAGCTCAGGTGCCAGCCAGCCCTTCTCATCACTACAGTGGCGGATGGCAGTACCTGGAAAAGAACAAATAACATAAAAAACAGAGGACATGGAAATCAATTTACTCACAACTGTTACCAACAGATGAAGAGAGAAGAAAACACTGTGAGGAAATTCTGTTCTATAGCATGAAAATTATGCATTTGCATTGAGGTAAAATTTGCAAAAAGGGGCAAAAAGTGTAAATGCAGTCATGTCAGAACATTTGACTGATCACATATTTTCTCGCATACTTTAGAGATTTATGTTTTATTACATGTATGTTTTTTAAATAACGTATTTTCATATCTTAACTACTTAACAACTTTTTATTGTTGCCTCAAACAGTTTTATTATCCAAAAATACTTTTCTTTCACATGAAATTAGATATGAACTGCTGTTATCTGTTTGTACGGAGGAACAAAACTGACAACATTATAAAAGCAAAACAAAAAAAACACAATTACATGAATAAATGTATATGCCAGTAAACGCATCAAAGGTAATATTAAAAAATCATAGATATTATTGAATGTATAAAATGCTACATAAAAAACTATTTTAATGATATATAGTTATATAATTATATAGTCCTGTCTTGCTTTTTTCATTTTGTATTTAATTATTCAATATTTGTTTCTAATTTTAATTTGTTTGTATCTTTTAATAGATTAGCTGGAGGCAACTATTTTGTATGGTAACCAATCAGATAACAGGGACAAACTGACTTCCCAATAGACTTTGAATAACAGCCTCCTCACTTATATGAAGAGTAAATAAAATATTCAATATTTAAATAAATGAAATTTGGGGAAAACAAACACAGCAACACAAAGGGAAAATTATACAGAACAGATACATTTAAAATGTCACACTTTATATATTTTAAATAATTTAAAACACATTAATGATCACAACTAATTATACTATTCATTTTTGAACAGCAAATTTTCAGGAATTTATTTCTTTGTGATTCTGTCTTGAAAGGTGCTATATAAATAAAAATTTATTATTATTATTAACAAAATCAAAAAATAACTAAGTGCTGCACATAAGATTACAAGTCATAAAAAGATTTAAAAAGAGAAAATAAAACAGGCAAAAAATTAACCAAACGCAGTTTTAAAAAGGTGAGTTTTGAGTTCTTTTTTAAAAACAGCTACTGAGTCCGCAGTTCTTAATGTTTGGGGGAGAGAGTTCCACAGTCTCGGGGCCACAGTGGCAAAAGTTAGTTATATTAGTATATTATGTTAGTTAAGAAAGATTTGACTGGGCTACTAACTAGTAGTAAGTACTAGTAGTAGTATAGTAAGGATACACATTTTTAAAAAAAGGCACAACAAAAAACTGTTCTGAAGATTTGCAGCACTTAAAAACCTGATGAATGTAAGACCATTCTTTCCTGTCTCAGTGCTTAAATGTAAAACTACACCAAGTTTTTACAGTCAGGTGGTGTTTGGGAAAGTCTCACTGTCGTAAAGGGAGAAATGCCTGCCACTTGGAGCTAAAGGAGGGCACTGAGCAATGCTCACAAATAAATTCCCTATTGAGTGCTGGGAGACAACAAAAAGGGCACCATGGTGACTGCAGTTCCCAAGGGAGTAACCAGGAAAGAGGCAACGTTTTACTGGGACAGGTCACTGACCGTGACTCTTGAGCTCACCTTTCTCATACACACAGTGAGCAAGAGGAATGGTATCGCCGTCAGCTCTTAATGTACCAGACGTACCTTTACACACAAACCTCTACATGATTGGCTGGTTAAAAAGCTCCTCTGGACTCATGAACCAATCAGGGTGCTTTATTGCTGTGTTGTTAAGCAGTTAAAAGTACTCACCAAAAGATCCTTCGGGACATTTCATAGCAGCAGGGCGTCCAAATTTTGTCTTGGGCCACCAGATGCCAGAATCAAAGGCCTTTGGGCAGCCCTCATACACCACTGTGGACAGGAGGGTAAGGCTTAAGAACAGTCTTAAAACACAGTGATTACTTTTTACATTGCACGTGGTA